GGGATCCTGAGAGCAGGATAGATCCTAGGTGCAGGATGGATCCTGGGTGCCGGACGGGACCATGCCCCGAGGGTGGGCAGCGCAGCGCGGAGCAGGGCACACCAACAGCAATGAAAACAGTTTCCCCAGGGAGATGCTGAGTGTAAATCCCTGGTGGGGTCTGTCCTGCAGAGAAGCTCTTTTCCAGGTGTTATCCTGGAAAAAACAGGGGCATTATCCTGCCGGGGGAAGGCGGTGCCCTTCTCCGTACAGTGTGTTTGCAGCTCTCCAGCACCTCACTGAGCTGGCTGGCATCTCCCGTGCCATGGCACTGGGGTGGCACTGGGGTGACACCGCCACAGCCCCCCATCCCTCAGCTGGGGGCAGATTTCGAGGCCAAATGTGCTCTTTGACAGCCCGTTCGAGGCCAAATCTGCTCTTTGACAGCCCGTGGCTATCAAACTCAAGCTGACGGCACGGCGATGGCAGGGACAGAGCATCCCCGGGGCATCCAAGGGATGTGGGGACACCCCTGTGGGAGGGACCCTTCCCAAATTCCACTTTTCCCCCCATCCCAGTTCTGCTGCTGTGGGACGTGTTGGGATTTAGTGTCAAATTTGAGGAGCATCTGTCTGTGAAGGTGATGGGAGAGGATCGGGGTGGGAAGGTGGAGCCGGCAACGTGCCTTGGTGATGGGGGGGCTGAGAGGAGGGGGGGGGTGGATTAGGGAAATATTTGAGTTTATTTTAATGCCAGGCTTATTGCAGGGATTGGAAGCTTAACTCCCAACCTGGCAGCCCCTGCTCTGGCCGGGTACCGCCAACGGCATTTCCCATTTCTATCCTGTCGCTCCTGTCCAGCGGGAATTGAAACCTCACCGGGGGGGGTGGGGGGTGGCCGGGAGCCCCCGGGGCCACTGAATGTCCCCACCAAGGGGGACCTGGCTGTCCCCTCAACCCCAGGACCCCGCTGGCTCTGGAGCTGCTGCTCCCACATGGAATTAATCCCTTGGCGGGAGTGTCGGCGGCTGCCAGTTGCAGAACGGGATGGCAACGCTGGGCTTGTCTATTATTTTTTTTTTTTTTTTTTTTTTTTAAAAGAGCTTATATAACCTTGGGGATTCTATTAATAAAAATAATGGGTTTTGAACTCCGGGAACAACCAGCCCCGACGATATGAGCAATTAAAATGCTCCGAGTTCAGAAAGCAGGCAGCTCTCGGGGAAGAGAAGGGGAGGGGGCCAAGGGGGTTCCCTGCCTGGAGGCAGATCCCGGTGTCTGCCTGTCCCTCCTGTCCCTCCTGCCCCGTGTCCCCATCCCTGTGTCCGGGGAAAGGGAGAGGAAGGGGGAATGGGGTTGTTTCAGCCCCATCCTGGGGGTGCGGGGTGGGTGCCCCCCCCGGTCCTGCTGTACCCGTGTTTCAGCATCCCACTTCCTGGGCTTCCACCCCGGGGCTGTATCCCATAGGAATTTATGGGACCAGCATCCCGGGGAACATCACTGGGACCCAACCCAGCGCCCTGCCTGGGACCCCAGGGGATGCTCAGAGCCCCCACGGGTGCTGGATTTGGCTCCGGGGGGAGCTCCAGGGGCTGTTAAAGGAGATATTGGGTTTAAAAAGGCAGGACCAAGGCTCAGGACCCAAACCAGGAGGTGGCTTGTGTGTGTGTGTGTGTGTGTGTGTGTGTGTGACTTCAGGGGCTGTGAAACACAGAGGGGGGGGGGGGGGGTCACAGTTTCTTCCCCCCCTGCATCCGGTATCAAAGAGTCTTTGCCCTGCTCTTGTGATTTTGGGGGGGGGTTTACTTTTTTTAATCCCTAAGTAGCCAGCGAGGTATTTAAAGGGTTTAATATAAATTTAAGAGAAGCAGAATCTAAGACGGTAATTAGAGAAAGCTGGGACATAACCTCAATTAAGGCATTTGGAGGCAAAAAAGCCCACAGTCTTTGGGATGCGTTCGAACGCCCGGTTATTTCCCTTTAAGACCAAAAGTCATTTTTCCATTCAGGGTGACCGTGGCATTAAGTTTATTGTGTTTCCCCCTGTGCGGGGCAGGATTATTGGCCTTTTCCAGAGGAAGGTTTAACTCCCCTCCCAGCCAGGGGCTCCTTGTTTCGTTTGGGACTTTCTTTTTCCTTTTTTTATTTTTTCTTTTTTTTTTCCCCTTTAAATCTCCCTTATTCAAATGGTCACAGCTCGACAGCCTTGTGCCAGGAACACTCTGTCATCCTGCAACTCATATCTCTAATTCCTTCCCTCTGATGCTAATAACACCTTAAGATGATTAAGACCAAGGGCGGGGGGGCGAACCAAAAAAAAACCAAAAAAACCCCAAAAAAACCAACTTAATATCTGATTTTTCTGCCCTCAGTGATGCTGGCTGCTGGTTTTGGCAGCAATTTTGACACCTTCTTGCTTAATTAAACCCTGTGCACTGTGGAACACCCCATACATCCTTGGATGTGGAGCTTTATCCCGGTGCGTGCGAGGGCAGGACCCTCTGGATGCACTGAGTGGGTCGCCTTCCCCCCCCCTACTCCCGCCCCGAGGAGATGTGGAAAAAAAGCCTCTTTGAGCTAAAATCCCACCCGGGGTGGTGGGGTGGTGAGTGCCGTGGCCTGAGGAGCAGCTGGAGGGCAACGGGGATGTTGGTTTGGGATTTTAGGTCGCTTTTGGGAAGGGAATGGAGGGAATGTGGCTCTGCCAGACCTTTGGGGTGGGTTTTCACCTCCCACCGTGCCTCAGTTTCCCCGGTGGGCAATTAAACGGCGAGCCAAGTGGCTGGTGGCAACCTCGTGGGGGTGTCGTAGGACTCGGTGACCCAGGACAGGTCATTTGGGCCCCGATGGCAGCGACGTCTCTGCTGGTGCAGGAGGGTCCTGCCCATCCTCGCTGCCCTGGGTGACCCGGGGGGGTTGGGGATATGAGTTTTGGGGCTTCCACTCGAGGAGCACCTCGAGGAAAGTCGGCAGGCGAAGGAGGAGAGCAAAGCTGCTGGTCCCTGAGGTGGTGCAGCCTGTGGGCTCCGTGTCCCCCATGCTCCCGATGTCCCTGTGCCCTCCATGTTCCTGGCATCCCCCTGCTCCCAGTGTCCCTGTGGTTCCTGTGCTCTTGGCATCCTCGTGTTCCTGGCATCGCCCTCCTCCTGGTGTTCCCATGCCTCTCATGCTCCTGGCATCCCCACACTCCCCATGTTCCTGGCATCCCTCTGCTCCCAGTGTCCTTGTGGTGCCCATGTTTTCAGCACCCCCATGATCCCAGTGTTCCCAGCATCCCAGTGTTCCTGTGGTCCCCATGTTCCTGGCATCTCCGTGTTCCCGGTGTTCCCCAGCATCCCAGTGTCCATGTGCTCCCCGTGCTTCCCTCTTGCTCCTGGTGTCCCTATGGTCCCCGTGCTCCTCACATCCCCATGCTCCTGGTGTTCCCATGCCTTTCATCTTCTGGCATGCTCATGCTTCCAGCATCCCCGTGCTCCCCGTGTTCCCAGTATCCTCTTGCTCCCGATGTCCCTGTGCCCTCCATGTTCCTGGCATCCCACTACTCCCAGTGTCCCTGTGCTCTTGGCATCCTCATGTTCCTGGCATCGCCCTCCTCCTGGTGTCCCCATGCCTCTCATGCTGCTGGCATCCTCGCACTCCCCATGCTCCTGGCATCCCTGTGCTCCCAGTGTCCCTGTGGTGCCTGTGTTTTCAGCACCCCCATGATCCCAGTGTTCCCAGCATCCCAGTGTTCCTGTGGTCCCCATGTTCCTGGCATCTCTGTGCTTCCAGCATTCCCCAGCATCCCCATGCTGCCGGTGTCCGTGTGCTCCCCGTGTTCCCAGTATCCTCTTGCTCCCGATGTCCCTGTGCCCTCCATGTTCCTGGCATCCCCCTACTCCTGGTGTCCCAATGCCTCTCATGCTCCTGGCATCCCTGTGCTCCCAGTGTCCCTGTGGTGCCTGTGTTTTCAGCACCCCCATGATCCCAGTGTTCCCAGCATCCCAGTGTTCCTGTGGTCCCCATGTTCCTGGCATCTCTGTGTTCCCGGTGTTCCCCAGCATCCCCATGCTCCCAGTGTCCGTGTGCTCCCTGTCTTCCCAGTATCCTCTTGCACCCAGTGTCCCTGTGGTGCCTGGGTTTTCAGCACCCCCATGATCCCAGTGTTTCTGTGGTCCCCATGTTCCTGGCATCTCCATGCTCCCGGTGTTCCCCAGCATCCCTGTGCTCCCAGTGTCCATATGCTCCCCATGTTCCCAATATCCTCGCTCCTGGTGTCCCTGTGGTCCCTGTGCTCCTCACATCTCCATGCTCCTGGTGTTCCCATGCTCCTGGTGTTCCCATGCCTTTCATCTTCTGGCATGCTCATGCTTCCAGCATCCCCGTGCTCCCAGTGTTCCTGTGGTCCCCATGTTCCTGGCATCTCTGTGCTTCCAGCATTCCCCAGCATCCCCATGCTGCCGGTGTCCGTGTGCTCCCCGTGTTCCCAGTATCCTCTTGCTCCCGATGTCCCTGTGCCCTCCATGTTCCTGGCATCCCCCTACTCCTGGTGTCCCAATGCCTCTCATGCTCCTGGCATCCCTGTGCTCCCAGTGTCCCTGTGGTGCCTGTGTTTTCAGCACCCCCATGATCCCAGTGTTCCCAGCATCCCAGTGTTCCTGTGGTCCCCATGTTCCTGGCATCTCTGTGTTCCCGGTGTTCCCCAGCATCCCCATGCTCCCAGTGTTCCCAGCATCCCAGTGTTCCTGTGGTCCCCATGTTCCTGGCATCTCTGTGTTCCCGGTGTTCCCCAGCATCCCCATGCTCCCAGTGTCCGTGTGCTCCCTGTCTTCCCAGTATCCTCTTGCACCCAGTGTCCCTGTGGTGCCTGGGTTTTCAGCACCCCCATGATCCCAGTGTTTCTGTGGTCCCCATGTTCCTGGCATCTCCATGCTCCCGGTGTTCCCCAGCATCCCTGTGCTCCCAGTGTCCATATGCTCCCCGTGTTCCCAATATCCTCGCTCCTGGTGTCCCTGTGGTCCCTGTGCTCCTCACATCCCCATGCTCCTGGTGTTCCCATGCCTTTCATCTTCTGGCATGCTCATGCTCCCAGCATCCCCGTGCTCCCAGTGTCTCTGCGATCCCCATGTTCCTGCCATCTCCATGTTCCCAGTGTTCCCACCATCCCTGTGCTCCCAGCGTCCCCCTGCTCCCGGCATCCCGGCCACGGGGACCCCCAGTGATGCCTCTCCCCCTTTTTCTCCTCCCCACCCCGCAGGAGGAGCGGCCGAGCCGGAGACGATGACGGCCGGGAGCGCCGAAACCAACGGCCCCATGCGGGAGGTGGAGTTGGGGGGCACCAAACCACCAGCCCCCCCTGCCCCGTCGCGGCGCCGGGGACGCCGGCTGCGCCGCAAGTCACCCCCGGAGGTCCAGGTGAAAGGGCAGCTCCGCATGCGCTCACCCTCAGGAGCCTTCGTCATGGTGGGCATCTCGGTGGTCCTGGTGGGCATGACCATCGCCGTGGTGGGCTACTGGCCCCACCGGGGAGCTGGGAGCAGCGGGGCCGGCGCGGGGAATGCCAGCATCGCAGGGGACATGAGGAGGGAGGTGGCCGCCGGGCGCCACGTGCCCCACAGCGAGAAGCTCAAGCTGATCGGCCCCGTCATCATGGGCATCGGGCTCTTCATCTTCATCTGCGCCAACACCATGCTCTACGAGAACAGGGACATGGAGACCCGCCGGCTGATGCAGAAGGGGCTCTACTCCATGGCGGCGGGTCTCCCTGAGGGGACGGGCCCAGAGGACGGCCACTGCCAGCGCGGGGATGGCCAGCCCGTCCCCAAGGCCAACGCCGAGTGCGTGGAGGGTTGCTACCAGGTGGATCTCTCCTGCCAGCCCTGCCCCGGCCCCGGCAGCAAATGGTCCGACTGCTACGGTCCCAACCGGCTCCAGACCACGGCCGAGCTCCTCCAGCAGCCGGTGGCATCCCCCGCCGCCTCCCTCCTCAGCCTCCGCTCCGGTGCCTCCGCCGAGGCCAACCTCGGCCTCTCCTGCCGCGCCGGAGCCGAGTCCCTCCTCTCCTCGGCCGTCGGAGCCTTGGCCTTGCCCGTCATCAAGCTCAACAACTGTTTGCTGGAGGCGGCGGCACGGGGAGCCATCGACCGGTCAGAGGGGAGCCCCGTCGAGGCCCCCCATGATGCCCCACGGCTCTCCCGGGGTGGCAGCGTCGCGCCCCGTGGCCAAGACCGTGATGGTGGTGGCCATGTTGTCATCAACGTGGATGGTGGCCACCCTGGCATGGAGCTCAGCCTGGAGGCACAGCTCCACACCGCAGGCCACTCCAAGTCCCTGGACCTCGGCCGGCCGGGGGTGCTGCTGGTGGCCCCCATCAAGGACCGTAAGAACCGGAGCTGGCCCCGGCTGGACCACGTCAGCCTGGTGGGTTACGCCAAACTGGAAAGTACTGGCGAGTCCTCGGACCAGCTGCTGGAGCCCAGCGAGCCCCCGAGCCGGGGGGAGCCCCGACCCAGCTCCTGGGTGGTGGGGATGGAGCGGGGTGAGCGGGTCTGATGTCCCCATGGCCCCCATGACATTGCAGTCTCTCATCCTGGCCACCAGCACCCATCAGCGACACCAAAACCCCACGTCCTGGAGAGGTTTGGGGACAGTGTTTTTAAGCAGATGCCAAGAGGGAGGTCCTGACGTGCTGCTCCTGGGGGAGGACTCGCCTGGGGTGGGATGTCCTCTCCTGGCTGCCTCTCGATGGCTTCCCGGTGGATGCCCTTGGCCTTACAATCCCTTCTCCTGGTGGCTTTTCCAGAGGAACCCTCGCTTTGGGACCCAACACAAAACTGCGGGGTGGGGACATGGGGCGGGCAAAGCCCTGCCGGCCCCCGCAGCACTTTATTATTTCAGCGGGGTTGGGGGGATGTTTTGGGGAGGGGGGAGGAGGGTGTCCCCTTGCCCAACCTCAACCCACCAGGAAATTTGCTTGACCGGAGCACGTAAGCCCAACGGGGCTATTAAATATTATCTCGATGCCACATGGTCCCACCTCACCTTGTTGTCTCCCCCGCGGGATGCTGAGGGTGGGCTGGAGAGGGTAAAGGATGCTCTGTAACCAGGTGCTGAATATTTGCAGGATAAGGTGATAAGTATAAGGTTTGAGATTGGTATTTTTGTGCAGAGTAGGATGCAAAAGGTGCCCAGGGATGCTGCAGGAGGCTGAGAAATTAAATCAGAGTCGCTGGGATGCGGCGGTTCCCAGAGCCCGCCTGCGGGTCGGGGTTTATCTGAGCTGTTTTCTGGTGAGGTGAAGGATGGGGAGCGGGAGGATGCTGATGGTGGGAAGATGTGGGTGGTGGGAGGGATGCGATGGGGTGGAGAGGAAGGGGTGAGCGTTGGTGCAGGTTTTGACAGGCCCTGGTGGGTGCTGTCATGATTTTTGATGCCCTTTGGATGCAGAAGAGGAGCTGGAGAGGATGCGGGAGGAGAGGCAGTCCTGGCTGCCAGAGCCCACCGTGGTGTGTGTAAATGGCTGAAATAGGGTTTATCTGTATGAAATAGTTTGGGGTTTTTTCATTCCTGTCTCTGCTTCACCCTCTCCCTGGTCTGAAGTGAGCATGGAGCCTTGGACCTTGCAAACCTCAGGGACAACATCCTTCTCCAGACCAAAATATCCCTGCACAATGTCTTGGAAACAGCCTTTTCTGGCAAAAATCTGTTCCCAGCAACTCAGAGACCAATGTCCCCTTGGCCTGGGGCTGGGGCTGGGCAGAGGGAACCATCCCTGTCCGGGGGCTCTTGCCACCCCTTTTTGTCACCCCATGGGACTGGGAACAGGGGAGGGAGCTGGGGGGGCCAGGGAGGGTTGTGCTGGTGATGCTGTTGTCCCTTGCCTGTCATCACCTTCCACATCACCCCACGTTACCCCCGGTGCTCGGCAGATTAAAGCCCACAAGAAACAAAACTGCTCAGCCCTCGTTTTAGAAGTCAGGGTTTCCACAGCTATTGTTTTTTTTCCCTCCCTTTGAAAGTCCTTTTTGAAAAATTCCTCCCTTGTTTCAAATTTTATTATTATTTTTTCATTTTCATTCCCGTTTTGCCTTTTAAAGGGGAGTGGTATCTGCTTCCCACCCTATTGCCCTATTATACTATATATATATATACATATATATATATATATACACTATATATATATTATATATATATTATACCCTATTGCAGATCCGGCCCCATCTCCACCTTCCCCTGTGCCAGCCTCCCCCATGCGAGACCCCCCTGGCTGCTGAACCCCCTTTTCCCAAAATATAACCCCTCACTCCTGCAGTGGGTTTGGTTTGTTTGTTTTTTTTTTTTTTTCTGTTTTACAAGAAAAGGCTGGTTTTGTTTCCAAGGCAAACTCTCCCAAGAAGTTTGGGTACCAGCCTCCCCCTTTGCAGGGCAGCAGAGACGGGGCCGATGGCTGCAGTTGGGAAGTCACAGAATCATAGAATCAAATGGTTTGGGTTGGAAGGGACCTTAAAGATCATCTCATTCCAACCCCCTGCCCTGGGCAGGGACACCTCCCACCAGTCCAGGTTGTTCAAAAAAAAAAGTCAGTAGCATCCCCCCCCCGGCTTCGCTGGGAGCGATACCAGCCCTGGGCTGGGCTATTTATTGGGCTGTTTAAGCTCCAAATTATTTAGGCATTGGTTCAACGCAATAAACAGCAACAACAAAAAGTCACCGGCGGGGTCTGCCCCGAAGCAGCATCCCAGGGGACGTGCCAGGAGCTTGTTTTTAGCTGAAAATAGCTTTTCATTTGGGCTTAACCAGCTGCAGCCAGAGCTAACGCCGGGCCCTGGGCCACGCTTCGGAAAACAGCAGCAAGAAATTAGAGTCCAAAATGCCACAAGGAGCCACGCCAGGAGCTGCCTCAGGGCTGGGGGCTTTTGTTTTAATTTTCCCCCTTTGTTTTTCTGGCTGGGGCTCAGCAGGAAGCGGCTGCAACTCAATGTGGCAAACGATGGGGGATGAGAGGGGAACCTGTCTGTGATGTCTTCTGCCTGGACCACGAGCCAGCTCCGGCATCCTCCTCCTGCTCCAGCATCTTCCTCCTGCCCCGGCATCCTCCTCCTGCCTTGGCATCCTCCTCCTGCTCTAGCATCCTCCTCCTGCTCCAGCATCTTCCTCCTGCCCCAGCATCTTCCTCCTGCCCCGGCATCTTCCTCCCTCTCCAGCATCCTCCTCCTGCTCCAGCATCTTCCTCCTGCCCCGGCATCCTCCTCCTTCCCCAGCATCCTCCTGCCCCAGCATCCTCCTCCTGCCCTGGCATCCTCCTCCTGCTCCAGCATCTTCCTCCTGCCCTGGCATCCTTCTGCCCAACGCAACAGCATCCTCCAGGGAAGCATTGCTGAACCACGTAGGGATCGTTTCAAAATGCAAAGCTGCTTGATTAATTAACCCGGCGGGGTGAGAAGACCCACAGTCTCTCCAGGGAGAGCATCGTCTGCTCATCCCTCACCTGCAGCTCTGCCGGCGGGCACGGTTTCAGGAGTGTTTGTGGGATTTTAGCAGCACTGGCTTCAACAGATGGACACCGTGGAGGCTCTCACCCCTGTGCTGCCCTCACAGCGCGTTGGGGATGAAACAGCAGGAACGGATCTGGGCTAAAAGGAAAAATTTGAAAACAAAGCAAAAAAATCCACCCTGGGCCCCTCCGTTGACCCCGCTCGGCTGCAGAGCTGTGAAGTTAAACCATCCTGGAGATGTCACACTGTGTGGGTCGTGGAGGGCGATGCTGGATGGTGTCTTCTCATCCTGCCCAGGAACTGGTCTATAAATATCCAGCCGTTATCACCCATCGGCGAATCCCCACCCCAGGAGGTGCCGGCTGCAGGAGGAGATTCCTACCAAGAGAAGGGGGGATTTCACCAAAAATAACAGCAAAAGAAAATAAGAGGGTTGTCCCCCAATGCTGACCATCCAGGCTGACCATGGGGTGTCCCTTGAGCCACCGTGGCAGAGGACAGAGACAGGAGAGGGGTCCCTGCTAATTACAATTACCCCCTGCACCACCAAGAGACCTCTGGGCTGGCACAGGGCTGTGGGACAGCTGCAATTTGGAGCAAAATGTGGAAAATGAGTTGAGGAAAACCAGTGCCATAGGCTGTGTGTGGGAGAGATGCCCTGGGAGGGTGCAGACCCCAGGGCCACCCCAGGAATTGTCTGTGGGGCTCCAGGCTCGCTGCTAGGACACCTCTGTCCCCACAGGAGATGGAGGGGGGGTTGATAACAACCCTTCGACCACCTCTTCAACAGGGCACTGAGGTGGAGCTCACATGCAGCTCAAATGGGGCAGGGTCAAAGCTGACCCAAAAAAATGGCCCCCAAAGGGACAAAAAAGGGGGAGGACAGAGAGAGAAGGGCTGAAGCAGCCACAGCAAAAAAAAAAATAGCAGCAGGTCCCAATTGTGAAGGATCTAGACCCAAACCTGGGAGGAAAAGAGTTACAGCCCTGTTTGGCCAGATTGGGCACAGCTGGGGGGGATGGTCACTCCCACCCCACACCTGATGCTGCTCGGCACACCAGGTCCCACCAAACTGGTTTGCAGCCCTTCCTCCTCCTTCTCCTTCCTCCTCCTCCTCTCTCAGCAGCAGGGGAGGCCACAGCCATGAGTCTGCTTGGCCGGTAAGTCCTTCCTTAAGATTTAAAGTCTCTGGGAAGGGAAGCACTCTGCTGGCGGCCGCGTGCCCGTCGTGCAGCCAGGGAATGCAAATGTTGGTGCATTATTTAGGGCGAGTGCTCTCTGCCATAAATCTCCTTCCCGAGGCACTGGGAAGATGAAACGTCGGAGCTTTCTGTGCCCGGGGCCGTTACCACGTGTGAGGGGTGATAACACCACCCATGTCACCTTAGGTTTAAAGATGAGGACCCCCTGAGTGGGGTGATGGGCTGTGGGTGGGCTCCCCGGTGCTCTAGCACTTTGTGACCTTTTGGCAAGGCACAGAGGCTTTCGGATGCTTTATTTTTTTAAAAAAAAGGAAATAAGTGGGATGCAAAGTGCCTCTCCGCATTATGAGCCAGCGCTGGGCCAAGGGCACCCGTCTCACTGCTCCCTGGGCAAGGGAGCCAGGATGGGGCTGGAGCTGGGGTGGGTTTGAGGGTAGTTACTTAATTATTATTATTTTTTTTTTGCTTTATTTTTTGGCTCTTGTGGATTTGGGGGTGTCCTGCCCAGGCTCCCTGGTACCCCAGGCTCTGCATGTTCTCCTGCTGCAGAAAGGGGCTGAGCAATGTGGGGCTCACCCCCCTGGGGCTGGTTGTGGGTGGGATGGGGTGAGCTGAGCTCAAAAGCCAGCGTCCCCCATCAGCTGCTGTCACCATCCCTGTGATGCTGGAGCCCAAATCTCTGGGGTTTTGGCTGGGCCCCATCAGGGACCACTGCCCGTGTTGGGGGCAAACTGGGGGAAGGAAAGGATGCGTGGATAACGTGGTCTGTCTGGCATGTGAGGGGTTAAGTGGGGCTTGGGGCACTAAAGGGCTGGGAATTGGGGCTTTGGGAATCCATTCCTACCCCAGGAAAACCATCCCATCTGGAGAAGGTTGGTGGGATGTGTGTGCTGGGGGGTGGCAGGGGAGAGTTTGTGCATTGAAGAGTCGCTGCTGTGGAGGCAGAGCAGGGTGTGGGTCGGGGATGTCCCCACGTCACCCCATCCCTGGGGACTCTCCTGCACCGAGCACGGAGCCTGGACCAGCCTCGGTGTCCTGGGGTGGACAGGAGCCCTGTGGCCACCTTGGGGAGATGAGATGTAGCCCTTTGGGCTGATGGAGCTGGGGACAGAGGAGCCGTGATCTGCTCCTGGATGTGTCCTGCAGGAGAAACCTTCCATGGCGCTAAATGCCATGGCCACCTGAGATGTCCCCTGGGTGCTGGACCTGCACCCACCCACCACATCGCCCTGGGTGAGCTTCTGGGTGTGGGTTTGCACCAGTGCCCGTGCTGTTGGTGGCTCTGCTGGTTCCCTGGTGCTCACCGAGGGTGGTGTCCCACTCCACGAGGTGACAGAGGAGCTGGTTCTGGCCAGGGAGCTGCCCCTTCCCCACTCCTGGGTGGTGCCACTTCAGGTCTGCAGTGTTTGGGAAGCCCAGTGTGGAGCAACTGGGCTGTACTGGTGTGCACTGGGCTGTAATCCTGCCCATTGATTGGGTTTTCCAGCCTCCCAGGGGTTGGTGTGGTCCCGGGGTGCTGTGCAGAGCCACAGGGATGCTCTGCTCCCCCAAAACGACTCGGGGGGCAGCTCCTGGGGGAGCATCAAGCCCTTAGACCTCTGGGGGTTGAAGAGCTGCTGGGGCTGGTGCCCCCAGACCTGC